CATGCCATTTTAATATTCTTTTTAGAATATATCAAAGTACCCTTTGCCATTTAATATTATTTTTAAACTTTATATGAGCCTAGATATTTACAAAAGCCTATATAATAAAAGCCTAATATGCTAAGTGTCTGGTCGTCCAGTCGTCTGTTCAACCAATCAAAGCATAATATGCTAATGATATGCTAAGGAAGACCGATTGCTCACTATGACGTGCACTGACCAACAGGGGGCGGCAAGGAATGAAGGAAGGCCTCAGCCAGCAGCCGGAAGGCGCTGATTGGCCCTGATGGCCGGCCAGGCCTAGAGACCCTACCCATGCATGAATTTCGTGCACTGGGCTTCTGGTATAATGATAAAAAAAAAAACCCAGATGCTTGTATGTAATGATAAACTCAACATCTTTTTAAAAAATTTTTATGTTTAACATTTAAAATATTCAAATAACTTCAACCATGAGCAAATGAAAAATCAGTTATATTGGATACTTGCATATTTCTTGTAGTATAAACAAGATATATAATCAAAAGTACTAGAGCACTTTATTTTTTCTGATCCCTCTTTCTTCAGGATTCTCACTCATCAGTGGCCTTCATCAAGGCCTGTTTGCTGAATTTTGTTAGTTGATAAAAGTTAATGTAGCCTTAATTATGTGAATCGAAATAAATGTAACACTCGAATACTGTTATATTAGTAAGTGTACAAATTGTCTAATTGACTTTATAGTGTGACTTTTTAAAAAATATATATTTTTATTGATTTAAGAGAGGATGGGAGAGAAAGAGAGAGAAACATCACTGATGAGAGAGAATCATTGATCAGTTGCCTCTTGCACACCCCCTACTGGGGTTCGAGCCCGAAACCTGGACATGTGCCCTTGTCCAGAATCGAACCTGAAACCATTCAGTCCACAGGCCGACGCTCTATCCACTGAGCCAACCCGGCGAGGGCTATGGCGTGTTTTAAGTATCTTAACACATGAAGCGCCCAGCCTGTTTTGTCTTCCGGATGGAGAGTATAGTATCAGTCACCGGTGACTGTCTGGGCGCTTAATGTGTTAAATAAAAATAAAGATTGCCCTGACCGGTTTGGCTCAGTGGATAGATCAGTCACCGGTGACTGACTGGGCGCTTCACGTGTTAAGTAAAAATAAAGTCTAACTGTCTCATTTCCCCCTTACTTTTCCAAATACTGTCTTATTCCGCAGGCCCTAATCCAGTGTGAGCAGCTGAGGGGTGAGCTGGAGAGGCAGGCGGAGCGGCTAGAGAAGGAGCTGGCCGCGCAACAGGAGAAGAGGGCCTCCGACAAAGAGCTGATGAAGAGCGAGCTGACAAAGCAGCGTGAGGACATGGGATCCCAGGTACTCCAGCGTCGGCTCATTGTCCCCATGGCAGGAGTGTTCGCGGTGGAGTCGCCGATGGCTTGTAGGCTGCAACTCTTTTCTTTTTTAATACATTTTTTTTTTTATTTCAGAGAGGGGGGGAGAGCGAGCGAGAGAGAAACATCAATGATGAGAGAGGATCATTGATTGGCTGCCTCCTGCATGCCCCACACTGGGGATGGAGCCCACAACCCGGGCATGTGCCCTGACTGGGAATCAAACCGTGACCTCCTGGTTCATAGGTCGATGCTCAACCACTGAGCCATGTCTGCCCGGCTGTAGGCTGCAATTTATTTTTTCCTTTCTTCTTTTCACTTTGGGCTTTGTTTGTAGTTCTTTGTCTATTTCCTTTAGGAGTAAAGTTAAATTGTTTACTTGGGATTTTTCTTGTTTCTTGAGGTAGGCCTGTAATTCTATGAATTTCTTTCTTAGAATTGCTTTTACTGTGTCCCATAGATTTTGGGTTATTGTGTTCTCATATATTTCAATAAATCTTTTGATTTTTTCCTTGATCTCATTGCTAACCCATTCATTGTTTAGTAACATGTTATGTATCCTCCATGTATTTATGTGTTCTTCAGTTGTTTTATTTTCTTGTGATTGATTTCTATTTTCTTACCATTATGGTCAGAGAAGATGGTTGATATGATTGCAGTCTTCTTAAATTTATTGAGGCTTGTTTTGTGTCCTATTCTGTGGCCAAG